GGTTCCGCTCCGGCCCGCTCGCTGAACGCTGGTTCTCCCTGCAGCCGCCCCTGGTCCAGGCCATCTTTAGCCGAGATGTGGAGGAAGTGCGTTCCCTCCTCTCGCAGAAGGAGAACATCAACGTGCTGGTGAGTTGAGATCGGGGAGGATGGCGAGCCGATAATCTGGGCCCTGGTGTTCTGGACTCCTCCCCACCAGTGGGGCGGCTCCGTGTCTCCTCGGTTCGGATGAGGCCACAGCTCGTTTCACCCCGGGGTGGGCGCCTGCTCTACCTTTGGAGATGGAGAGAGGTCAGGGTCGAAGCACAAACCAGTGGCTGAGACTGCCCAGAAACGGTGTTCTCTTCCAAAGCATCAGCGTCTGCAGCGCCCCCTCCTCTCGTAGAAGGAGACGGCTTCCTGGGCTCCTGGGCCCTGACCCCCTACTCCACCCTCCCTAGGTGTTCGCTTTGACCCAGGATTGGGATTTAGGAGTGCGCAGAACCTATGGGAAGAGGTTGTGGGGGAAGGCCTGGGGCTCTAAGACTTGGGCTGGGGTCCTCCATAGTTCACCACAGCAGCTGCTCCTCTTTTCTGCTTTCCCAGGACCAAGAAAGGCGAACCCCACTGCATGCTGCTGCCTACGTAGGCGATGTCCCCATCCTCCAGTTGCTACTGATGTCAGGTGAAAGTGGGGAGCTGGAAGGTGTGGCACCTAGGGAGGGAACCTGAGGGGAGGAGCCTCTTTTTTCATATCCAAGGATTGTTCTCTGGTGGTTGGTCCAGGCAAGGCTACAGCTCCGTCCAGATTCTCAGGCCTGATTACTGGCTTCCTTTCCTACCTCTTCTCCACCTCCTCTCAAAAGAGGAAATTATATCCCCACAGGTGCTAATGTCAACGCTAAGGACACACTGTGGCTGACCCCTCTTCACCGTGCTGCTGCCTCCCGAAATGAGGTACAGGCCTCCCACCTTCTTTCACCTTTCCAAAGAGGATGAGTTGATTAAAGGTGGAGGTTAGGGTTGGAGAGCCTCAATCCTCTGCCCTGCAAACTGGTCTACCCCAGGATAGGGAGAAGACCAGATCTTGGCCCCTCCCTCCTACCCCTAGAACTGGCTGGTAAGGTGGGGCTGAGTGTTGCCAGCTGATGTGACGTAAGGGGAGAGCTTAACACTGGGCTGGCAGACTGCAGGGGCCCCTGCTGCCAGGCCTGAGTGACTCATCCCTCCCTGGGGGGCCACCTCGGAGTCTGATCCCCCTCTGAGATTTTTTGTCTCAGGGACAGGGGTAGTGATCTGTTGCATCCCTGCCCCTCAAACAGTATGAAAGTTGACAGCACAGGGGTCAAACATGCCTCACCAGTTGGGTCCATCAACCCTGAAGAGTGTGAAAAGGAGACCTCTCTCTTATTTTGACAGTCACTTTCCTGGCTGTAGCCACCAGGGAAAGGGTGGGACTGACGCCAGTGGGAATGCGGTGGGTGATAATTGGGAGGGCCATTTTAGCCTGGGTTTTTGGAGAGGAACCCAGGCCCGCCTGGGGAGCTGGGGAACCAAAACGTGAGGTAGGTTTGCTTACCTAGGTAATGAAAATGATTTTGGTGCCTATGGAAAGGCTGAAGGAGGGTATTTGGGCATTAATGTTGCAGGAGTGTTTATCTTTCCTAGAAGTAGTGGGGGATTGGGATCCTCTACATGTGTGGATTTGCTTGGTAATGGTTCTATGTGTAGGTAAAGATTTTCAGGGTTTGGGTTAGAGAGTAATACTGGTGGCTTGAGGAAGAGGAAGGGATCTGTGTTTTCCTCAGCAAGACAGGGAAGATTTTAAGCTCTAAGAAGATACAGAAGAAGATGGGAGTAGGTATTGAGGACCTAGATATACTGGTCAAATGAAAAGACACTCTGTGCTGGGGGGGAGGTGGTGTGGGGGAAGAATGTGGCCACATGTGCCATGCTGACCTATTCTTCCCTCCGTTCCTATTGTTTTACTTCCTACTGCCCCTTTGTCGTTTCTCTTATCCCCTGCCCCTGAACAGAAGGTGCTGGGGCTGCTGCTGGCACATTCAGCAGATGTGAATGCCCGGGACAAGCTGTGGCAGACACCATTGCATGTGGCTGCCGCCAACCGGGCCACCAAGTGTGCTGAGGCTCTGGCACCCCTGTTGAGCAGCCTCAACGTCGCTGACAGGAGCGGCCGCAGTGCCCTGCACCATGCAGTGCATAGTGGGCATCTAGAGGTGAGGACTGCTTCCAGTCCATGCTTAGCCTAGTCCTTCCCTTTCCTTCCTACTCATCTTCCCTGGCTTCTGGGCCATCAGACCTGGGCAGGAGAAGCCCCAATGGTTATATGAGCAGTTGGGCTCAAGCATTGAATGAATAGTCATGTTAGATTGAAATTCTTGACTTGGACTTCAAGAGGGTGATAAACTCTGGAGTTGCATGGGAAATGTTTGTATACATGTCTTTTTCTGAAGCAAGAATCCATGTCTTTCAACACATTTTCAAAGAGTTTTCAAGAGTTTAAAAACCACTAGATTATGGGGATGTAAAGTATAGCATAGGGCATATAGTCAATAATATTGTAATAACTATGTATAGTGCCAGGTGGGTATTGGAACTATCAGGGAAAACACTTTGTAAAGTATATGATTGTCTGACCAATGTGCTGTACACCTGAAACCATTACAAAATAAAATTGAAAGTAAACTGTAATTGAAAAATAAAATAAAATAAAACAAACAAAAAAAGCTCGGCCAGGTGTGGCTCAGTGGTTGAGCACTGACCTAGGATCCAGGAGATCGTGGTTCAGTTCCCGGTCAGGGCATATGCTCGGGTTGCGGGCTCAACCCCTGGTCAGTGGCATGCAGGAGGCAGCCAATCAATGACGACTCTCTCATCATTAATGTTTCTATCTCTCTCTCCCTCTCCCTTTCTCTCTCTGAAATCAATAAAGATATATTTAAAAAAAAAAACAAAACATAAAAACACTAGATCACCTGACGAGACTCCCTCAAAGTTCCAAATCAGCATGGGATCTCCTTCGTAGTGCCTGCTTTCTCTGTTCCCTCTAGTTTTCGAGATTGTTCTGCTCAAGAACAAAGACCATTTAGGCTGCCTCAGCCTTTTCAGGAGCTGAGGTCTCTGTTCTTAGGTAGGTTGAGGACATGAACTTGGCACTGAAGGTGTTTCATATCCTGATACAGACGGTGAACCTGCTCCTCAATAAGGGAGCCAGCCTGAATGTCTGTGACAAAAAGGAGAGGCAGCCTCTGCACTGGGCAGCTTTTCTGGGTGAGAAAGGGTTCACGGGAAGAGCGGGAATTTGATATTTAAGATTCCTGGGGCAGGGAGAGGGGTTTGCTGCCCTCAGAGAGAGGCACTCCACAAACCCTCCTTGAGAGCATTCCCTCTCTTCCTAGGGCATTTGGAGGTCCTGAAACTGCTGGTGGCACGGGGAGCAGACCTTGGCTGCAAGGACCGCAAGGGCTATGGGCTGCTCCATACAGCTGCTGCCAGTGGCCAGATTGAAGTGGTGAAGTACCTACTCCGGATGGGGGCTGAGGTGAGGGTGCTGAGCACAGGGGCTGGGGACTGAGGGCAGGGAGTTGGAGATCAGAGTCTGTTATGGAGATACAAAGGTGTGGTTTTGGGAGGCGTGGAGGATGTGGTGAGAGGGTTTGAACAATGCTTACCTTAAGTAATAGTGCCCTCAGTCTTTTGGGTCAGGAATCTTAGGGGGCTCAGGCAGTCATTGGATTTCTGGGATTCTCTAGGCTGTCTGTGCCAGCTTCCACTTTGTTTAAACTGACCTCCCTTATCCCCATCCCTGGAAATCCAGATTGATGAGCCCAACGCTTTTGGAAACACAGCTTTGCACATCGCCTGCTACCTGGGCCAGGATGCTGTGGCTATTGAGCTGGTGAATGCAGGAGCCAATGTCAACCAGCCGAATGACAAGGGCTTCACGCCACTACATGTGGCTGCAGTCTCCACCAATGGCGCTCTCTGCTTGGAATTGCTAGTCAATAACGGGGCTGATGTCAATTACCAGGTACCTGAAGGGATAAGGCTGAGACTAGTGGGAAGAGGAGCTTGGCTCTGGGGTTCCTGATCATATCTTCCCTCTGGATAACTCTCGAGGGAATTGTCCACTTGCTTCCTGGGGTGATCAGATCACTTGCCAGGGACCTGGGAGAGTGTGGGCTGAGAAGATGTCCATATGACTACACCGTCCTCAGATGTGTTCTTTGGTAGGGGAAACAGGGCATTCTCTGTGCCTTGCACTGGGGGAAAAAAACACACACACGAAAAAACGCCATGTTTCCACAGAGCAAAGAAGGGAAAAGTCCTCTGCACATGGCTGCCATCCATGGCCGTTTCACCCGCTCCCAGATCCTCATCCAGAATGGTATGGATTCAGGAGACTTCGTGCTCCCTTTTCTTCTTCCCCCAGAGAACTCATTTCTAGAAAACCCTTTGCTTTCTTATTCTGCCTCCTACCCTATCTTCCACTCAGGATGGGCACCTGGAGATCTGAGCTAGGCACCAATGGAAATAGCCCTGCTTTGCCTGCCCCTTCCCCTAAGGCTTACAAACAAGATAACATGTAGAATGCTGAGCCTGGCACCAGGCACATACTAACCACTTAAATGGGAGCTAACTAGTGTAAGTGGTCTGAAGCCTACGGTCTGCCTGAGTATATGTGTATACATCCCTCTCAGGCAGCGAGATTGATTGTGCTGACAAATTTGGGAACACGCCACTGCACGTTGCTGCTCGCTACGGACACGAGCTACTCATCAGCACCCTCATGACCAATGGCGCAGATACCGCCCGGTGAGTCAGGGCTCCTAGCCCCACTTCTAGGCTGCCTCAGATCTGTATAGATGACTCACATCAAACATGGAGGCACAAAGAAGCTTGCCAAAGGAAAGCTCGTAATCTAGGCTGGTGGTGGGTCACAGAAAAGAGGCCTATAACTGGTCCCTCCTTGACCCAAGGAGTGAGTCCCAACTTCTCCCTAGGCGCGGCATCCACGACATGTTCCCCCTGCACTTAGCTGTTCTTTTTGGATTCTCTGACTGTTGTCGTAAGCTTCTTTCCTCAGGTATGTGCTGACCAGTTGGGAGTTGGGCAGGTGTGTAGGGGAGCAGAGGCCTGTCCCCTCTGCTCAGTGCCCTCACATGGGATCTCTGGCTGTTCTGGCCTTGCAGGTCAGCTGTACAGCATTGTGTCTTCTCTCAGCAATGAGCATGTGCTTTCAGCTGGGTTTGACATCAATACACCTGACAACCTTGGCCGCACCTGTCTTCATGCTGCTGCTTCTGGAGGGTGAGTTCTTTTCCCTCTCTCCCAGACCTTGAGAAGAGAGCTGGGCAAGGGTCAGCCCCCCCTTTCCTGCTCAGATCTCTTCTCCTCTCATAATGGGAGCAGTTGCAGCAGAAAGGGCTGTCTAGTTCCATCCTTCCTTAGCCCCTCCCTGTGCCTGTGGCTTCTCCTGGAGGCTCTCACTCTCTTAACCCTCATCCTTCCTTTTAGGAATGTTGAATGTCTTAATTTGCTGTTGAGCAGTGGAGCTGACTTGAGGAGAAGAGACAAATTTGGAAGGTGTGTTAATGTGCATGGGTATACGTAGGGATTATCTGATTAGAGACACAAATGATAGAGCAAGAGGTGGAGAGGCGGAGACTAAGTGAGGAGAATATTACAGAGCAGCTTTTGGCTGCATATCTGGGTGCATTTGGATCTGTCCCTGATTCTTCTACCCACCTTCTTCCACTTCTTCCCAGGACTCCACTGCACTATGCAGCTGCCAATGGCAGCTACCAGTGCGCTGTCACGCTGGTGACTGCTGGGGCAGGTGTCAATGAGGCCGACTGTAAAGGCTGCTCCCCCCTCCACTACGCTGCTGCCTCTGACACCTACAGGAGGTGAGACTCCTACTTTGGCCCTCTCAACTCCTCTCACCTTCCTAAACCTCCCCCTGACTTCTCCACTCTCCCTCCCACAGAGCAGAACCCCACTCATCTTCCAGCCACGATGCTGAAGAGGACGAGCCACTGAAGGAGTCCCGCAGGAAGGAGGCCTTCTTGTGAGTAATTGAGAAGACTGCTGGGTTGTGCTTTCCCAGCAGTGCCAACTCTGGTCCTCTTCTTCCACCCACTGTGAACCCTACCACCACACTTCTGCTGCTTTGCTGTCAGCCATCCAGCAGTGTGTTTGGAGCACTCTGAGTTTAGTCCTGGGTTAAGTGTTGTGAGTAAAGACAAAAGTTTGAGGCATAGTTTCTTCCCTCAAGGAACAGATGGTTTTCCTGAGAGAATCAGAAAAACCAAACACAAAATCATTTGTTTATTCCACAAGCATCAATTGAGTAATCACTTATTAGCTACCAAGTATTGTGCTATGTACTAAGGATAAAGGATAAATTACCCCAAGTTTCTGCTTTCTAAAAGCTAATAATCTGTTGGGAAAGATAAATGAAAGGGCACTTATACATTCTAATGTAAGATGTTAATAATAGGGGAAACTGGGCATGGAGTATATGGGAACTTGCCTCTCCTCACAGTTTTTCTGTAAATCTAAGACTGTTCTAAAATAAAAGGTTTATTTTTTTAAAAAGGATACTTACTATTCCAAGAAGCTCAGCTTTGTGGCCTTTGGCAAGTAACTTAACCTCTCTGTGTCTCAATTTCCTCAACCATAGTAAGGGTCAGACTAGTATCTACCTCATAGGATTATTATGAGGATTAAACTAATGCACAGGAAGGGATAAGTCTTGTATTATCACTACTAGTACCACATTGTATGCGGGAAACGTATTTATACGTTTTACGTTGACTGGTAGTAGAGCGCGCGATAAAAACTACCCGCAAACAATGTGGTACAACTACTACTAAGCAATGCAAAGGATGCCAAGGGAGTGCACAGGAAGGAGCACCTAACTGGGAAGGTTGAGGAAGGCCTCACAGAGGAGAGCCTGTTGGGACCGAGTCTGAGATGAGTAGACTTCAGACAGTCTGGGAGAAGGCATTTAAGTTACGGGATCAGCGTGCCTGGAGGTAAGGGGAGAGTGTCGATCAGCAGAACGTTGATAACTGGTACTTGTGCTGTAGGTTCTCTAGTAGAGCATTCAAATGATAAAGGAGGGCATTGAAGCCAGGGCAGACCTGGAGGAGGGGTGGGTCTGGAGCTGGAGTTGAATGGGCAGTGGTTAGCCTACCTGGGTTTTGGCCAGCTAGGCTTGGAGGGGCTCCCTTGCCCCTCTCCTCTGCCTCTCCCAGAACTGTGCCTTCCTGGACTGGGCCTGTCCCCACCTCACAGTCTACTCCTACCCCCCCAGCTGTCTGGAGTTCTTACTGGATAATGGTGCAGACCCTTCCCTGCGGGACAGGCAGGGCTACACAGCTGTGCACTATGCAGCCGCCTATGGCAACAGACAGAACCTCGAACTGGTATGTGTGGGATGTGGCCCTGGATAGGAGAGGGAGGGGCAGGGCACCTTGGTGTTTGTGGATTCTGAAACCAAGGGGTGACTGAATCAAATGTGGTCTCTAGATCCAGGGGCTCAGGGGATTACTGTTTGTGGGGAACAGGGCTAATATCTTGGGATTTCCAGAACTTTAGCACCTGTTCTTTTGTCCATTGCAGCTCTTAGAAATGTCCTTTAACTGCCTGGAGGATGTGGAGAGCACCATTCCAGTCAGCCCTTTGCACTTAGCTGTGAGTCCCAGCCTTTTCTTCTTGTCTTCCTTGACCTCACCTGCCCCACACACAGGTGCACCACTTGAGAACCTGTCCTTTCTCCTGCTTTCTTATGGGGATGTGGCAAGCAGGCAGTGGTCTGGAGAGGGGATGGGTGTAGTTCAGGTTAAGAGCCTGAGGGGTCTGAGGAGCTTGTGGGGAGGACTGCTGCTTGGAGTCTCCCCATGGGCCCCAAAAGCAGAATGAGTCAGTGTCCTGAGCTGTATCCATGGGTTGTCTGCACCCCTCCAGGCCTACAATGGTCACTGTGAAGCCCTGAAGACACTGGCCGAGACGCTGGTGAATCTGGATGTAAGGGACCACAAGGGCCGGACTGCACTCTTCCTGGCCACTGAGCGAGGCTCTACTGAGTGTGTGGAGGTGCTTACGGCCCACGGCGCCTCTGCCCTCATCAAGGAGCGCAAGCGCAAGTGGACACCCCTGCATGCTGCTGGTTCGTATGCCCTCTAGGTTGCTGCCTCCCCTTGCCACACCAGGCCTTGGAGCCTGGTCCACCATCCTTCCTGATGGGATTGGAGGTGGCAGTGGAGTGGGATGAGGAGGATGGAAACTTCATATACTGATTTGTAGCTTCCTATCCCCCTGCCCCTTTGGTCTTTACCTGGCCTCCTTCCCCCTGACCATGCCCTAACACAGGTCCCCTTTCCTCCTAGCTGCCTCTGGTCACACTGATTCCCTGCACTTGCTGATCGACAGTGGGGAACGAGCTGACATCACAGATGTCATGGATGCCTATGGACAGTGAGTATGGGCCAGGGTTGGAGTGTAGGTTTTCCCATTCCTGCTGGGCCCTCACCCTTTCTCCTGCCCTCTCTGTAGAACCCCACTGATGCTGGCCATCATGAATGGCCACGTGGACTGTGTACATCTGCTGCTAGAGAAAGGATCCACAGCTGATGCTGCTGACCTCCGGGGCCGCACCGCCCTCCACCGTGGGGTAAGTGAGCTCCTGGGTGAGGTTGCTCATAGTTGGGCCTGGACATGGAAGCACATGTCCCACCACCAGTAGGACATCAGATTGCCTAGCAGGTGGGCCAGGATTTTGTCCTCAAAGTTGTCTTATTGGGCTTCACTGTGTTTGCTCCAGGATGAGTACTTGACATCCGCAACTGATCTCCCTGATCACCTTGCTTTGTAATCATATACAACCACCTGCTCACCAACCAGGCTCTGTCCCAGGGTACCCTGCTGACCCTGTCCTATTGGATAATGATGCCACTACCCAGTCCTTCTCCACCATCACTTGTCCTAAAGCCACCTCCTCATCCCACAGGATTCTTTGATCCCTTAGTCTCCTTCTTACCCTGCATTCTGTCTCTCATTCCAGAGTGCCAGAATTCACTCTTGCCATTCTGATTGTATGTTGGTCTAGAGAATGAAAGAAGGAGATGCTGATTGTTAACACTTGGAGTCATTGTTGTAAAGACTAGGATTAGTTGGGGTGGTAAACACACAATACAATATACAGATGATATATTTGTAGAATTGTATACCTGAAACCTGTATAATTTTAAATGTTACCCCAATAAATTAAATTAAAAAAAAAGACTAGGATTGGAGCCTTGGATGTGGATCTTACTCCTGAATCAGTCCCAAAGACTGGTCATTGGAAAAGGAATGATTCCTCACCCCCCACTCCCCACCACCATGTCACCCACAGGCAGTGACTGGCTGTGAGGACTGCCTGGCTGCCCTGCTGGACCACGACGCATTTGTGCTGTGCCGAGACTTTAAGGGCCGCACACCAATTCACCTGGCCTCTGCCTGTGGCCACACTGCAGTCCTGCGGACCCTGCTGCAGGCTGCCCTTTCCACAGACCCTCTGGATGCTGGAGTGGATTATAGCGGATACTCGCCCATGCACTGGGCCTCCTACACTGGTATGGGTCTGGGGTCTTTGCAGGCAAAGGAGTTTGTACAGAGACTAAGGATAAGTGGGTTGAGGGAGGGACCTGGGTTGATCTAGTTCTGGAAGCAGTGTCAAGAGATAGGATAGGACTGATGTAGGGAAGCTTCAAGTCATTTCTGTCCATCACTACTCTTCCTTCCTCATACCCAGGACATGAAGATTGTCTGGAGTTGTTACTTGAACACAGCCCATTTTCATACCTGGAAGGAAACCCCTTCACTCCTTTGCACTGTGCAGTGTAAGTCCTTTCCTATGCCTCAGCCCTTCTCAAGGGTCTGTGACCTGGGCTTAGGACAGGAGTTTGCTTCCCTTGCCCCTGCTGAGCCTTCCTCTTCCCCCAGAATTAATAACCAGGACAGCACCACAGAGATGCTGCTGGGAGCTCTGGGTGCCAAGATTGTGAACAGCCGAGATGCCAAAGGACGGTGAGTGAGTGGTGAAAGGCGTGGGGAGAAGCCTGAATTGCCTCTCTGGCCTCCTCCTTCTGCTCAGGTAGAAGAGCCTTTCCTATCTTACTATGCCCTGACCCCCTACCCTGCAGGACCCCTCTTCACGCCGCTGCCTTCGCGGATAATGTTTCTGGGCTCCAGATGCTGCTGCAGCATCAGGCCGAGGTGAACGCCACTGACCACACTGGCCGCACTGCGCTCATGACGGCAGCTGAAAACGGGCAGACGGCTGCTGTGGGTGTGTAGGGGCTGTTTCTGGAAGGGAGGAGTTCCCCTGGGGTTTTTGCAAGATAGGCCAGCCCCGCCTGTGGGGTTCTGGAAGCAGGAGGCATGTCTTTGGGTGTTTCACCCTCTGCAGATGAGATGCAAAGTGTATGCAGATAGGAGGGTGGAGAACCAGGATTGCTGCTGCTCTGGGGGGGAGGCGTCAGTCCCTCTCTGTCCCCTTTCTCTAGAATTTCTGCTGTATCGAGGGAAGGCTGACCTTACTGTGCTGGATGAGAACAAGAACACTGCCCTCCACTTGGCTTGTAGCAAGGTACTACCTCGAGTGGTTGTTGTGAGGCTGCATACGGCAAGGTTTGATGAAGGGGGCTGGGCTGGCTTGATAGGGTAGAGGACTGGAGTGGAAGTCAGGATCAGCTAGCCTGTGTGATGGTGGGATTGCTCTTTGTCCCACTGCCATACTCCCCCAGTCCTCCTCTGTGGCCTGTCATGCTTCCACTTCACAAGTCTCTCTTCTATATTCCTCTCCCTCAGGGCCATGAGAAATGTGCCCTCATGATCCTGGCAGAAACCCAAGACCTTGGCCTTATCAATGCTACCAACAGTGCGCTGCAGATGTGAGTGCCCAGGGAAGGGGGCTCCTGGCTGGGGGAGGCAGGTGGGTGAAGAAAGCCGCCTGCATTCCAGGGGTTCTCTGGATCTCACAGTATTTGTTCAGTGCCCTGCTACCCTGGCTGGGGGTGGAAGGGCAGCTTGGCATCCCACTGACTTCATGCTCCTTCTCTTTTCTTTCTTCGAAGGCCACTCCACATTGCTGCCCGGAATGGTCTAGCTTCTGTGGTGCAGGCCTTGCTGAGTCGTGGGGCCACAGTGCTGGCTGTGGATGAAGAAGGTGAGTGGGGTCTGGAGCCCCCCTGCCTCTCCTGGGTTTGGGGTCAGGGACATTCTTCAGGAGGTAACTTCATAAACTTGCTATAAACTGGATTTTCTTCCCAAGGGAACTCTTCAGAGCAGGGACTGAACACCAGTATGCTAGAGTCTCTGAGGGAAGTCTGCAGGAACTAGGTGGAGCCAGTAGGATCCTCAGAAAGACTCCCCCACACCTTTCAGCATCCTGTCCCCCATGCTCCGCCTTTAGCTCCACACTTCCACAGTCTGCCTGTCAGCCTCCTTGGACCCTCATGACCCTTGACTTTTGGCTATACTGGGTGCTTGCTTGCCTTGGCTCTCTCCACAGATAAGAGAGCTCACGGCCTGAGGGAGGGTGAATGGGGGGCCAGGGATACAGAATCCTCTGCCTTAGTTCTCATTCTTGCCTGCAGGTCACACCCCAGCACTGGCCTGTGCCCCCAACAAAGATGTGGCAGACTGCCTGGCCTTGATCCTTTCCACCATGAAGCCTTTCCCACCCAAGGACGCCGTCAGTCCTTTCAGCTTCAGCCTGCTCAAGAACTGCAGCATTGCAGCAGTCAAGACGGTGGGTGGCTGCGGGGCTTTGCCCCACGGGGCCTCCTGCCCCTACAGCCAGGAGCGGCACGGCGCCATTGGGTTAGATGGCTGCTACTCTGAGTAGCCCCTTTCCAGTGTCCCTCTCCCTGCCGGTGGCTTGATATCTTATTCTATTTATTTAGAAAAAGTCTATACATTTAGGGCACTTTAAAGGAGAACACGACTGGGTTGGGGGGCGGAGGGGGGAGAAAAGCACTGGGGAGCAGCTGCTTACCCCTTTGCCACACCATCCTGGCCTGGCAGGGGTCTGGGACTAACAGGGAGCACCCCAGGCCCTTGGTACCCCCGGGGCAGCCCCTTCTGCCAAGTGTCCCAAAATGATTGCTAAATGCCTGGCTCCCCCTCTCTTCTACCCCATCTCTCAGTTCCCCCTTTCTGCTGCCAGCGATCCCAACTCATCCCTCTGAATCTCCTCTCTGTGTCCCTCTGCCCCCTATCCCTCCTGCCAGGCAGATCCCCTCCTCTTTTTCCATACCCATCACTGCCTCCCTGCTCGGCCGGCTCCTCCATCCCCGCAGCAGTGAGAAGCCTTAATTTCTGGTACTGTGTGAGCACTCTGGGGGCGTCCCCCTCCCCCTTCAGGGGCAGCTAGTGGACGAGGGGGGAGGGTATTTAGCACTGGGGCCTGGAGCTTTTCCCCCATTTCTGTACTCTATCACCCCTAAAGTTCAAATGCAAAACACTTGAAGCAGCAACTACTGTACCTGGGCCCCAATCCTGCACTCTCCCCTGGCTCCTCATATGCAAAACAAGGGCTGGTTCTGCCCCCACAGCCTACCCCTCCCTGCTTCCCTTTCCCTCCTGGCCTGGCCCCCTAACCACGCACTTTAACCTTGCTTCTTTCTTTTAACTTCTTTTGGGAGGGCAGAGCCTCTGGCCATTCCTTCACTGGTTCTCCTCTCCCTTAACTTTGAGGCTTGTCATGAATTTTTAAGTAAGCATTTTATCCTTTAGGGAAACAAATTAATTTCCTGCCCATTTCAAAACCACAGCCCTAGAATGTCCTATGTGTTTCAGGCATGTGTTTGCATGTATATGGAGGGAGGGACTGTGTTCTTCCTCCTGTGCCCCCCAATCCTATAGTTCCTCTGTTCCCTGTCTGCTACCACCTTCCATTATGTCCAAGAGTACCCACCACCCTCAGTCACTCCTGATCTGAAGCCAAAGATGGTGGGAAGGGCCGGGCAGACTAGGGACTGTGGCTACTTGGGACTGGGCTTCCCCTCCCGTGTGAGGATGAAGCTCTGACCTAAGGAGCAGCCTACAGATACTGAGGTTAGGTCCTTGCCTTCCCAGCAGCAGGGAGAGGGGTTTGAGCTAGGGGCTGCACTGAGAAGATTCCTCAAAGTTGCACCCCAAAAGCCAAACGGCCGGAGTGAGGAGGGGGCAGTTTTTCTCTAAATGTAGCATTGAATTTGGCCCTGGTCTCTTCAAAAGCCCTGTCCATCCATCTCCTAGCTAAGCCTCCTGGACAGTTGGACCCCTTCCCCACAGCCCAGTGTTCCCTTCCTCACACTCAATACCTCAGCCAGGGGCCAAGACACAGAACTTGAATAGAGGTCATGCTCCCTCCGCCCCCACAGTGCATCCTTGCCCAGTTTGGCTGCCATCAGTATTGTCCGCTGAGAACTGGATGGGCTTCGTTTACACAGTTGAGGGTACCCGTGTTGGGAGCCCTCATTCTCCTGCCCCCTCTCATGCTTGCTTTATTCATCATCTTACCTAATTTTCAGTTGTGGCCCCTGCAAATCTTGCCACCCTTACCAAGGGTGGGCTGAGGGGAGAGGGGGCATCCCAGGGCCCCTCCCTCCTGCTCAGATGCCCTTAACCATACCTCATGCTGGTCTCCCGATGCCTGGGGTGTTTGTCCAAGTCCTTATTCTTTTTGTCTGTTTCCTTTTCATCCTCTCTCTGTGTCTTGCTTCCCTTACCCCTCAGTTCCTAAACCATTTCAAAGCTTCCAAATGACCATTATTGGTGAGAAGGATTGTGCAGCTTTTAGTTTTCATTTTTGTTTTCAAAGCCAAAGGGCCTTGTGACGCCCCTCTTGCCCACTTCCCTTCACACCCTGTCCTCCCCTATACGACAATCAATGTGACCTCTCTTAAGGGCTGCAGCCCCCCACCCCCCACCCTGCTGGTTCTGCAGAGCTTGCCCCCTAACTTTAATTCTCTCTCCTGAAATCTTCCCATTTCACCCCCTCCCTCTCATTTTGGTGCTGGGAATTAGGTGGTGGGGGCGGGGGAGAAGGGATCTGGGTCCTCCGGAGAAGGAGACTCTCGGGGTATCAGTCGTGTTCTCCTTTAGCAATGTTCGGCGATGACAGGAAGAATCAGAGTATTTGTCAGGACCCCCATTGTTTTTGCTAGATGAGATTTCTGGTGGCTGCCTGCCCGCCCCCTGCTGCCCCTTCAGCACACCGTCAGCCATGCTGGGCATGTGGTGGGGCAACCTCTGTCCTTCCTCACATGGCTGTGAGGAAGCCTAGAGGACAAGCAGCCTCCTCTCCTATGCCAAAGGAAATCCCACACCCCACCCCAGGTTCTCCAGCCCCTAGTGTTTTTTGAAGCATTTTGACCATTCTCATGGCCACTGCATATTTATTTTAATGTTAAGATTTTTTTTTTAACCTCTTTGACTTAAACGGGTGTGGAGAAGTAAAACAGGCAGAATGCCCCCCAAACTTTAGTGGGTAGGGTGGGGAAGAAACCTCTCCTTCCCTTAACCCACCCTCTTCCCCTCCCTCTCCCCACCACAGCTCTAAAGCACTTGCTTCAAGTAATAAGCACTTTTGAGAAAAGGCCTATTTTAAGTGAGGACCCTGGGAGCAGCCCCAGGTCCCAGCAAAGGAGACAGAGCGAGGGCTACATAGGAGACAGGGAAACGTGTAAATCAGAGGGCGAGATGAAAAGAGCCAGTTTTTAGTTTCTGATTTTGGGGGGATATGTTTCTGATTGGGCGGTGGCTTTAGTGGGTTGTGTACTATCCCTCAGAAAAACAAATGGCACAAACTGTGGGTCCCAGGATGGACCAACAGACCCAGGTCACTGCCACTGTCCAGCTGAGACTGATGGGCCACCTCCCCCACCCCTTGGCCCCCTGAGCCATAGGACTGCTGAAAACCACTGAATGTACAGCCCAGGTTGGGGTGGGGAGCAGCCCCTGGGGGAGGGGGCTTCTCCTTTTGTTTGGTGCTGTGGGGGGTGGGAGAGATGAGACTAAGGGACTGCCACCCCACTTAGACATGTGTTCCGCGGGGTGGAGGGGCTGAGGAGGGCCTACCTCCCTTTCCAGCCCCGGCCATGGCCCCTCTTCCTTCCTCATCCCTATCCGTTTTGACTGTAAGTCCAGCTCACCTTTGCCTTCAATATGTAACCAAAGGAAAACTCAATACTGTTTCCACCGCTGTCTGCCCACCTGAGCACCTTCTTCCTCCCTGGACCTAGAAGGGGAGAAGAGGCTGGGGGCACGGGGGTGTGGGGCCAGAGTAAACGGTTCTACAGCTGTACCCCCAAAACCTTCTCTGGGGTCTTAGAAGGGGCCCTGAGAGGCGGGGTGGGGCCAGGCTGGAGGGGCTGGGAGCAGGCCCACTGTGGATCTTGTGCACATGCTTGTTTTTTTGTTTGAATGACTCCAGTGACTGTGCTCCAGCAGGGAGGCCCCTTCCTCCTTCCCTCTCCACCATTCCTCACCCTCTCCCCACACCCAGTGTTCATCTCCTGCCTCCCCTTCCCACCGCAAAGGAAAATAGCCTTACAGACCCTAGCCCAGAAACCCTCCTCCTGGGGCAAACCAGTGTGGGGCCCCATCCTGCCTAGTTTGAACTCTACCTTGTAAGAAGGAGGGAGAAGGAGCAAAGCTGTCCCTTCCCCCTGATCATGGTGGCTCCAGTCCACCGCAGCCTTGACCCATGTTGGGAAAGGGTGGAGGTGAGGAGTCTTTGAGGACCAAGCCCAGTGGTCTGGGAAGAGGGAGGTAGAGAAGGAAGGGTCTGACTTGAGGACTCCCTCCTCCCAACCCAACCCCTAGAGAAGCGACCAAATCCCAGAGATGGAAGGAAGCTGGGGTGGGGAGGGTCTGCTCTATGAATTACTTGAAGGTACTGACTCTGAGGCTGCTGTTGCCCACTTAAGTGTGAGGGGGACATTGTCACTGCATCCGGGAGGGCAGAAGGTGGAGGGTGACGAGAGGATCCGCCCTTGGCCAGTGCTCACTCCTGCTAGGCCTCTTCCCTGGGGAGCTTGGCTTTGCCCCCAGGGAAATTGGGGAGAGCCTTCCCCTCCCATGTCCATCCCTACTGTGGGCACCTTCTCCAATTGCACTAAAGTAGCTGTTGTGCCAGTCTTACCCCCACACCAGGTGGGGTCTCTGCTTCCAGTCCTTTCTCTCCCACTGCCTCCGCTCCCGTCCCGGACAATCTCCTTGTTCCTATATTCCTGGATAGCTCAGCTTTGTATGTGTGTGTTTGGGGGTGGGGGTGGGTTCTGGCCGGAGTGGGCTTGCTAGGGGTTTGGGAAAGGCTAGGGGAAGGTGGAGGATGAAGTCGCCTCTCCCCTTCCTCAACTCCAAGCCACAGAAGCCT